CTTTTTAAAGGTTGCTCCCAGTTAAGTTGAAGTTATAAATGGTTGATTTTCCTCGGAAACAAAGGTACCAATTCCTCTTAACTAAGCTTGTAAATAATGCAAACCTACTAGAGCAATAAACCCAGACAATCATCACATATAGAACGTAAAGGACAAAGGCTGAATTCAGGTGGCGATTGCATTTCAGTCATGCATGTATATCCCAAAGCACATGGTGAAATGATCCCCATATCTTATTGCTCAGATATCCTCCAAGCCAACATATGAAAGCTTTGTCTTCAGAAACTCCGTTGACATGCAAAACGTGCTTTACATAAGCCCCGCACTGGAGAGGTTTGTTTATTACCAGCAAGAGCCGCAGAATTATGAAGCATCAGCGGGCCTGGAGTGTGCATGCATTCACAACAATAGAACGATGAACCAGTGAAACCACACCGCATCAGATCACTCACCCCGCACGTGAGCGAATTACAAACTAAACACTTTTGCCAGATATGGATCTCGCATGCATGAACTATGAGACAGGCTACTGAAATCCAACAAAACATAAACGAGAAGAAAAAGAGCCCTATCAACCAGATACACCGAAAATTCCTAAAGGAATGTGAACAGTTCCATCATTATTTCAAAGCAATCCTGTATAAATAATTGGAATGAAACTTAAACAGCACTCAAACAAAAACTGGATCTTTCAGACCACCAATAGAATCATGTGATTTTCTTTAAATGTCCAGCAGCAAAACATTATTTGAGTACAAGACATACAAAGATTTCACAATAGCCAATAATAAGACTCCAAGAATCAAAAAATCCTGGAAATCCTACAGTAACCTATCCTGTACAATATTCAAATAGAAAGTTTTATATATATATATATATATATATATATATATATATATATATATATATATATATTAGGCTACTCCAGGATTTATTATGACTTGTACATATTATGTAAATAATAAATATTACTTGATTAACCATTTTAAAGGGATAGTTCACCCAAAAAGGAAAATTCTGTCGTTAGTTACTCAAACTCATGTCGTTCCAAACCTCTAAGACTCGTTCATCTTCGGAACATGAATGAAGATTTTTTTAATGAAATCATAGAGCTTTCTGTCCCTCCATTTACTACCACTTTCAAGTTTATTTACAAAATATTAATCTCCAACGCGCATTAACTTAACACCGTCTGCTCTCGCATCAACACACATGTCCTGGTGGTGCTCTCATAATGTGCATTGGAGATCAATATTTTGTAAAGAAAATGCCAAATTGTGGGGGGTTTTGCGCACTCGCATCACTTCACAATATTGAGGTTAAACCACTGTAGTCACGTGGATTTCTTTAATGATGTCTTTACTGTCTTTCTGGAGCTTGAAAGTGGTAGTTGCTTAGGCCGTCAATGGAGGGACAGAAAGCTCTTCATTTGTTTTCCGAACATGGACGAAATTCTTATGGGTTTGGAACGACATGAGGGTGAGTAATTAATGGCAATTTTATTGTTATTAATAAATTGGGGTGATCTAAACCCTTTAAGGACTTATTGTGATCGTTCAGAACACACAATTCCCAAAAGTACTAACAAATGGCCTTCATCAAAAAGAATGTAAGGAAAATGTTCCACAAACTCTTTGCTTCCATGTGTTAATAACTGCCCAGTGGCATCACATTGTTCCAGTACAACACAAACAGACATTTTTAATAAAAAATAAAAAAATTCCTGAAAGAATGACAGTTTATCCAGTTAGGATTCTAATGAATCCCATTAAGTTTGGTTCCAAATGTTAATGCTATTTCATAAATATTCCTCCAGGGTTTTTTGACTAGTGGATGTATTGGCTTGGTGAACCAAGATCTAATGTGCATCCTTGTCAGAAATTAAAAAGAGCTCGGGGCAAGAAATGACTGATAAAGTGACATAAAAAAGCTCCATATATGCAGCCTGGGGGCAAGACATATGTAATCCACCCTCTGTTTATGTATTTTTCATAATTCCTAATATTTTAGGCCAATGGTTATGGGTTTAGTTAGTGCCTCAACAGACACTGGGAAGCGAAGTGTTTGTGATGGGAAAAGATTCAATCAGCAATTAAAAAACCCTGACAAAATGCCGCGGCTGTTCATTTTCTAAATAACAAAAGTTAATTTCTGACTCTGCATTGCATCTATGCCACAGTGACTGGCCGGCTCACCTGGTAAGTTGGATGTCGGTGTGTTTAAATCCTCAAGGTGATGCGTTTCTTCTTGGCGCAGGATGCGGGACAAAGCTGGTAATTTCACCTGCCTCTCCTCCAAAGCGATCACGCGCACCGGGCTGACATATCGGTAAAACACGGGCGTCTCTGAGCGGGTCCGGTGCGCACCAGGCGTTTATAGCGCAGTGGATCCGCGTTCTTCCACCCGCTCACTCAGACACAATGTCCCTTTCGCGTCGGGATCAGTCGGGATCCTGTGTGGGGACGCTGCTGCTGCAATTCGGTCAGGATATAACGGGTAGGTGTGGTTGGGTGAACGGACGGAGAAAGACAACCGTGGCACGGGTCCAAAAGAGCAGCCCTGCGTTAAGACGCACGGCGCAGTGTGTGCCCGCCCGCTGAAAGCCTTTCAAAAGCAGAAGATTCACGTGCATATGAAGATATCAATGTCTGAGGAGGAATTGGTTTAGGTGATGGTTAATAACGCCATACATCCACCTGCAGTCTGGATTGGAACGTCTCTCCAGCAGTTCCTTTGGCGATGTTCATGAATCAGTCTGTGCGACGTATAAACTGTTATTTACATCCACCGGTCAGACGCCGAGCGCTGCGTAAACACGAGCATCATCCGCGGGCTTCAGAATGAGGAACCTAACCATCCGAGAGGGGGATGGATCTTTCTCTGTCTTTCCCTCACACACACACACACACGCGCGCGCGCGCACACACAAACACACATAACCTACAATCAGTTAGGCAAAGTATACACCCTCGGATAATTAGATCTAATTAATATCCCAATTGTTTCTTCTATAGATTAAATGAGGAGAAACTGGAGACCAGCATTCTTCTCAATTTGTCCCTTGAGAAAAATACCCTGTTAATCTCACACGTCCTCAGAGATTTAGCATCTCAACAATATCTCAAAAGGTATAAGATCATATTTAATATTGAGCAGTGGAAGCCACAATATGAATTGGAAAAAAAATCAAATCAAATTCTTCCAAAACCATTGGATTGGTGACAGTTTAAAACAGTTTTCACTCAGAAATTGATCATTTCGTGAAATACATGAAATTTTAAAGTGAAAAAACTGAAATAGTATTTCTTGTGAAATAATGATTTACTTTATTTACAACTTTGAGAATTTTTTTTTTCAATGTGGTTAATTGCATCAGGAGAAACATCAGAGATAAAGTCGATACTTGAATGAATCATATTTGACATCTCCATGATGTCTTCTTAGATGTGAAAGAGCAACATCTGAGCAATACGATTTTTAATAGCTACTGGAGAGCACCTCCCTCAAACTTTGTATTGCTATTAAATAAAGCTAATTATAATTACAGTCTTAATAAAGATTCCAATAGGATGAAAAATGACCCTTTCTCTAATATGAGAATCTAGTAAGGTGCCTTTAAGAACCTTAGAAACCATGACAGGGATCTGAAAACCCTGTAAAAATACATCAAGAACTTTAGAAACCTTCCAAAAAAAACACACAAATACAAAAAGTTAAGATTGAGCAACAACAAAAAGTAGATTCCTTGCCAATGTCCCTCTTTGTACCATGCTGAACCTAAGGTGCAAATAACAGACATTTTTAAGGACGTAGCCCAAACCCTAACCATGGGGACATTGAACAAAATTGATCCAGTTCTTGCCACTGTACGTTGCACAAAATAAGTAGGCCTAAGCATACACACACATCAGAGGTTGAAATTATTAACACACACACAAACACACACAGAGGGAGAGAGAGAGAGAATAGAGAATAAATTGAGAATCACGATTCTGAGAATACAACTAACAAAATAACATGTAATTTACTAAAGTTCCTGACAAAGAGTTGACTAAAATTTAATTAACTTGAATTAATTACTCGATTTGAATGAATGATTCAATGCCTTAATTGTAATGTATTCTATGTAACGTGTAATACGTACTACGGAATGACGTAACAGGAAATAAACAAGAAGCATGGAGTTCACAAGCAACCTGCGTGTCGTCTGATTTGTTTAAGTAAAACAAACGACAATACATGGTGTCAGAAGTTGTAAGTGCATCGAAAGAAGAATGGCACAGTTACAGCCACCATCGAACCTATGTCTACAAGGAAATCTTTCAGAAAATTGGAAGATTTGGATACAAAAATTCGACTTGTTCCTGACGGCTAGTGGCATCGCGGAAAAAACTGAAAAAGTGCAGTGTGCCACATTTCTACATGTCGCGGGTGAGGAGGCAATTCAAGTTTTCAATACGTTTGAATTTACTGAAGAAGACAGGGACAAAATCAACCCTCTCAAGCAAAAGTTCAAAAACTATTGTGAACCAAGAAAAAACCTACCTTACATTCGTCACATATTCTTCACGAGGGCTCAAGGACCGTCAGAGAATATCGATTCCTACGTCACTGATCTAAAGAACAAAGCAAAAGACTGTGAGTTTGCAGAATTGCATGATTCTTTAATAAGAGATAGAATTGTGTGCGGCATAAAAGATGACACATTGAGAGCCAGATTGTTAAGAGAAGCAGATCTCACATTAGCAAAAGCTGTGGACATTTGTCGAGCGAATGAAATCACGTCCAGTCAGGTGAAAGCACTAAACGAAGAAGTTGACATGCATAAAATTAAGGCTGTAAAAATGAAACAAAAGAGTCATTGGATGCCAAAAGAAGTGCAACGTGACTTGAGTGACGACACAAAATGCAGTCGATGCGGTTACAAGCATGAGCAGAGAAAATGTCCCGCCTATGGTCAAACGTGCAGGATATGCAGTAAAAAAAATCACTTCGCAAAAATGTGCAAAATGGAGCGTAAACAGCCAAGAAAGATGCACACGCTTGAACAGACAGAGGAAGATGACAAAAATATGTTCCTGGGCACAGTGGACGTTCAAAGAGAAAATGAGAAAAGTATTCAAGCTGTTACCACAGAAACACGAGAAGAAAAGGAAAAGTGGTCTGAATTGCTAAAGATAAGAGACAAGAAAGTTAAATTTAAGTTGGACACTGGTGCAGAATGTAATGTGCTCTCGTTAAAAACGTACAATTCGCTGGGTATAACAGAAAAGCTGAGTAAATCTACCTGCAAGTTACTTACATACTCTGGACACCAGATGTCGCCAGTGGGACAGAATCAGTTAACATGTGAGTACAAAGGTCAGAAGCACATTATACAGTTCCAGATTGTTGAAAGAGATGCTCCTGCAATTCTAGGAAGATCAACATGTCAATCATTAGGCTTGATACAAAGGATACATGAAGTGTCTGTTGAAAATGATGACATAATGAAAAATTATGAAGATCTGTTCAGTGGTCTAGGATGCATGCCAGGATATCATCACATCCAAATTGATTCATCAGTAAAACCAGTTGTACATGCTCCACGGAAAGTTCCTGTCGCACTGAAGGAAAGAATAATTAAAGAATTGCACAAGATGGAAGAAATGAACGTCATTGCAAGACAAACAGATCCGACTGACTGGGTGAGTAGCATGGTGACAATTGTCAAGCCAGACAAAATTCGAATATGTCTCGACCCTCAAGATTTGAACAAGGCAATCAAACGTGAACACTACCCACTACTCACAGTAGAAGAGGTCGTATCTAACATGCCAAATGCTAAAGTGTTTTCTGTGCTGGATGCTAACCAAGGATTCTGGCAGATTAAATTGGACGATGACAGTTCCAAGTTGTGCACGTTCAACACTCCTATAGGAAGATACAGATTCCTACGTTTGCCATTTGGGATATCGTCAGCATCTGAAGTATTCCAAAGAGCTGTAGCACAGATGATTGAAGACCTGGATGGTGTGATAAACATCGTGGATGATTTGCTGGTCTGGGGTGAGACAGTACAAGAGCATGATGCCAGACTGAGAAAACTGCTCCAGAGGGCAAGAGAGTACAACCTCAAACTAAACAAAAAGAAATGTCAAATCAGAACATCACAAATCAAGTACATTGGTCATGTACTGACAGCAGACGGACTGAAACCAGACGAAGAGAAGGTGAGAGCTGTAGTTCAGCTACCTACACCAGAAGACAAGCAAGATCTTCAAAGATTTCTGGGTATGCTGCAGTATCTCGCCAAGTTTATTCCCAACTTGTCAGAAGTAAGTGCTCCGCTCAGACAACTGCTGGAGAATGATGTTGAATGGTTCTGGGGAAGCGAACAAGAGAAAAGTTTTCAGAAACTGAAAGCTCTAGCAACAAATGGACCAACGTTGAAATACTATGATGTAAACAAACCGTTAACATTGTCAGTTGATGCCAGCTCTGAAGGCATGGGTGCGGTTTTGTTACAAGATCAGAGACCAGTTGCATATGGATCAAGAGCGCTCACAGATTGTCAACGTCGCTATGCACAAATTGAGAAGGAACTGCTAGCGATAGTATATGGATGTGAAAAATTCCATCAATATGTATATGGCAGAGAAGTTCAAGTAGAAAGCGACCACAAGCCACTGGAGTGCATCTTCAAAAAACCTCTACATCAAACTCCATTGAGACTACAAAGAATGTTACTCAGACTTCAAAGGTACAATCTAAAAGTCAAGTACAAGCCTGGTAAAGAAATGCACATAGCAGATGCATTGAGTCGTGCTTACCTTGATGAATGCGACGAAGAACTGCTTGAAGAGGAGTTAGAGGTAAATGTAATCACAACTCAGCTGCCTGTGACAGAAAAGAAACTGCAAGAGTTCAGAAAAGAAACAGCTGAAGATCCTGAAATGCAGAAACTGAAAGAATACAGCATAAAAGGATGGCCGACAGTAAAAAAGACTGTACACAAAGACGTACAGAAGTATTGGACACACAAAGAGGAAATAAGTTATACATCAGGACTTGTGTTCAAAGCGTCCAAACTTGTAATACCAAACAAAATGAGAAAGCAGATGTTGGATAAAATTCATGAGTCACATCTCGGCATGGTGAAATCCAAAGAAAGAGCAAGAGACATCATCTATTGGCCGGGAATGTCAGATGAGATTGAGAAAATGGTATCTCAATGTGCTACGTGCAACACTCATCGAAACAGTCACACAAAAGAACCGCTAATATCTCATGCCGTGCCAGACAGACCATGGGCAAAAGTTGGTACTGATTTGTTTCAGCACAATGGTTCTGAATATTTGATGTGTGTGGACTACTACTCCAAGTTTCCAGAGATTGCAAAGTTGAATGACACTACCAGCAGAGGTGTAATACTTGCAATGAAATCACTGTTTGCAAGACATGGTATACCTGATGTGGTAATATCAGATAATGGTCCACAATATGCCAGTCGAGAATTCAAGTGTTTTGCAGATAACTGGGAGTTCGAGCACAAAACGTCGAGTCCGAGATATGCTCAATCTAATGGACAAGCAGAAAGAATGATCCAAACCATCAAGAGAATGCTCACAAAGTCACAAGATGAGAATGGAGATCCATATGTTGCGTTGCTGGAATACCGCAATACTCCACTAGATGGCATTGGTTTGTCACCGGCACAACTTCTAATGGGAAGAAGATTGAAAGCTAAACTGCCAACTTCGAGCAAATTGTTGACTCCAAAAGGATGCGAGAAAGTTCAAGAGAAACTCAAACAGAGGCAGTCAAAGCAAAAATTTTATTATGACAAAAACACCAAACTGTTGCCAGAGATATCACCAGGAGACAAAGTGAGAGTGCAGCAAGGACAAATCTGGAATCCTGCAACAGTTTTGAAGAAACATGACTCTCCGAGATCGTATGTTCTTTGCACACCAGATGGAAGGATCTACAGAAGAAACAGAAAGCATCTGTTAAAGACAAAAGAACAAAAATTTCCATCAGCACCTGATCAGGATGACTTTAACACCGAGCAAGAAACAAATGCAAAGTCAGAGAGAGAGATGAATCCTGATTTACCTGTCATGGTGAAACAAGCACATCAAAATGGTTCAACTGAAGAACAGACAAAGCCAAACATCATCACGAAATCAGGAAGAGAGATTAAAATTCCTTCTAGGTTTAGAGACTATCACATGCACTAGCATTTACTACAATGCATCAGAGTAAATGTTTATTCACATTAGTATTAATGACTGTTTTGTGAAAGCATTAGTAAACGTTGAAATAAGTTAAAGAGTTGTTAAAAAAAAAAAAAAAAAAAAAAAAGGGGGGATGTAATGTATTCTATGTAACGTGTAATACGTACTACGGAATGACGTAACAGGAAATAAACAAGAAGCATGGAGTTCACAAGCAACCTGCGTGTCGTCTGATTTGTTTAAGTAAAACAAACGACAATACATTAATCACTCAAATACTTAATTTGCTTAATAATTAGATGAATCAGCGTTTTTGAACTAATCTCTTGAATAAATGATTCAATGACAAATACATTTTTTGACAGTCACTTGTCGCCACCTACTGGTGCAACGATGTAATTGATACAATCTTTTTTTGAAGAGTCACGTTATTAAAGCTGATTTACTCTATTTTGATCGGAACCGTAGACATCACATCAGTGTTTATATCTGAAATTTAAACTTATCCCAGTACTGTGTGAAAATGTGAATTATTGTAAGACAGAAATAATGACACTGTTTGAGAAGCGGTTTCATACCTAAACATGACAACTGCTCTCTCTGGATCAGAACCCAGATCTGAATGTTCACTGTGATCATACTTGTCAAAAAGACATAGCCGAATCTTTGTCATTAAAGGAATAAGTTAAAACACATTATTGTCTGTGAATTATCATATGACTGTATGCACTATAATCCAGAATGTATTCAACAAAAATATATTATTCAATTTCTGTTTATTTAAAGCAAAAATCCTCACCACAGCATGACAACAAAGCCTCTTCTCATATAATTGGAGCATCTGTGTTTGGGTTTTGGATGCCACACCTGCCGAATAATAGACATCAACAGACTGAACCATTTAATGAAGAACATTGTGACACAGGTCATCACACTGACCTCACAGATGACCCTGTACCTGCAAATGTGTCATTTAACCTGGATTCCACCAACAGTTGGAGAAAGATTGTTAATGTTGCAAACACTTTGTTTCTTATTGGAATAAATATCAAATGTGCATTACTGTTCAAAAGTTTGGGATCGGTTAGACTTTTTAATGTTTTGAAGGAAGTCTCTTATACTGACAAGGCTGCGTTTATTTAATCAAAAATACTGTAAATTTAGTTGAAAAGTTTGTTTAAATAATATGTGTGTGTACTGTGTATAATAATCTTGAATATATAAATACACACACATGTATATATTTAAGGAATATTTGCATGTATACAGTATATATTTATACATAATTTATATATATAAATAACACATTTTTCTTATAAACATGCATGTGTGTGTATTTATATATACACAAAATAATTATACACAGCACACACACATATTATCTAAACACAAAGTTTTATTTTGGATGCCATTAATCATTGTCCCGCACAAAAAAAAAAAAAAATTAAACTAACTATTTTGAAATGTTATTTATTGCTGTGATGCAAAGCTGAATTTCCAGTGTTTTACAGTCTTCGGTGTCACATGTCACAAGAAGAAACATTTCTTATTATCAGTGTTGAAACCTTAATATTTTTGTGGAAACTATTATTTTATTTTCAGGATTCCTTAATGAATAGAAAGTTCAAAAGCACAGCATTTATTTGACATAGAAACTTTTGTAACATTATACAAGTATTTACTGTCATTTTTGATAGTATAGATGTAGTAGCTATAGATTTCCTTAAAAAAAAACTTTTGAACGGTATGTGTCCAATGGATGGTTTCATATCAAAACAAAATGGCAACTACAGATAAAATCAAATGACTGCAAATAAGAATTTGCTTTGTAAGGTAAATAGAAATAGTTCAACAAAATATTTTTTGTACCTTATTTTGTTGTTGATTTCATTGTGATTCTTTGTGTACTCATGGCTGAACCTGCAGTCAAGGAAAGTGTTTGTTAAAAAGCATAACAGTCCACAAAATGAAGTGCATGTATAAGTAATCCTAGGAATCTAAAAATGTATTTTGCATGTAAAAACAGAGAAAATGTATGTGTGTGTGTCATTTCAACACTTTAGGTGACTCAGCAGCGTAGACGGTAGTGCTTCATCTCCCTCCGTCACACACGCAGAGCAGATTTTCCAGATGGATTCTCGGCTGATTCACCGAGTTGTGTGGGATATCTGCCTCCGATTCTGTTATGTGACTCATTAAAGTTTAAAGCACACTCAAAAGACTACAAACATGCTGAAGCACAGGATCAAAAGCACATGCATGCATTTCTCAAGGGTTGTTCACATCAAATAGCAATGCTTAAATCAGACAAATTAGCAAATTAGTTCTAGCACTCTGTAGTACTTGTACTCCTTAAATAAATAATAAGGGGGGAAAAAGAGTTTTGTAGAAAAACAAGCCCTTTGCAAGCATGCAAGCGCAAATATTTTTTCGGGACTGAAAGCAAGACTCTGAAAGCCCAGTTTCCCCGATAACCTTCAAAGAAACTGCGATCAAAGAGAGAGGGCAATACTTTTCAGTGATATTGTCAGGCGGGTTTTCATCACCCGTGCTTCTGTTGCTGAGGAGATGAGCATCAGGAAACCATTACGGGTGATATTTTTAGGCAAGCATTGGAACAGATGCTGCTTTGATATGAAACGGGTGAAAAAGTATCCGATTCTGACATCTACAAATTGGACACAGGTCAGTAGCAAATCACTCCAGAAAGTGTTTTTAGCACAACCCTTGCAAAATGGAAAGCCTATGTGCAAAAAACCCCCAAAAAAACTTTCAAAACGTGGCAAACCACCACAAAAGTCAGCAGGCCAGACTAACACATTGTAGCAATTGAATGTCAATAAAACAGTTCAGCTAAAAATGAAAAGTCTGTCCACAGCTCTCAAATCTAATTTGTGCATGGGTACGTTACGTTCACACTGCGAGCCTTAGAGCTTAATTCCCATTTATTGCTCAGATCCGGTATTTATTTATTTTTTGTATAGCTGTTCACATGTTTTGTATAGCTGTTCACGTTGTTGTACGTCTGGCCAATATCTGATTCACTGTAAAAAAATAAATAAATAATTATATGATCAATAAGTTATGACAAACTTTAACTCGCCAAAATAAGTTAAGCAATTTTCAACCTTTTTTTTATGTTATACAAGATTCAACTTATTTTTAAAGTCAGAAATTATTAAACATCAAAGTTGATTGTACTTAATTTAAGGCAGCAACTTTATATATATATATATATATATATATATACGGAAGTAAACACAGAGAACATTAAAGTAAGTGATTACACGTTTATTTATAGTGTGATCTGCTGAAGAAGCCAGCAAATTTATGCGAAGGAAATATAAAAAACAAAGACGAGGATGCAAATTTTTTAACACTTATGATACGAGCCCACGTTTTGCTTGTGTATTTGTCACTGTTCTAACATGTGACTCCCATGAGTGCAGAATTGTGACGAATGTTGAGAGGTGACATAAAAGTCACACAAATTCCGATTTGACTGTTGTTCAGACTGAAACATCTGAAACCTGTATCGGGATTTAGGACCACATTTGGAAGTGACCCAAATCGGAGTTGAAAGGTTCAGATTCCATGTTGTTTGGAGATGGTCCTCACTGCAGAACACGAAATCCAGGGGGAGGAGTTGGATCCAGATCCAACTCCTCCCACCTTACATATACCTAAACCTGGTGCTACTATGGCAAGCCGTTTTAACTTTTATTCATTTCCAGGATATGAATACTTGATATCAACAATTCAATTTTCACTAATTAAAATTATAGTTATTGATATCAGGAATAATATTTCTACTAGTAACAATGGCAATTTTTGATATCAGGAATTACATTTTCACTAGTTAAAATGATCATTCTTGATATCAACAATTGAATTGCAACCAGTTAAAACTATAATTCTTGATATCTGTAATTGTATTGTCACTAGTGAAATGTCACCATAGGCTGCCATTCAAAATCAATTCTTGATATCAAGAATTTGTTTCTTACTAGTTGAAATTCCAATTTTACATATCAGAAATACAATTCTTACTAGTAAAAACCTTTATTTTTGATATCAAGACTTAAATTGTCACTAGTTGAAATGTCTATTCTTGATATCAACAATTGAATTGCTACTAGTAACAATGTTCATTTTTGATATCAATAATTCAATTTTCACTAGTGACAATGTTAATTTCTGATATCATGAATGTGATTGTTACTAGTAAGAAAGCCATTTTAGATATCTGAAATAATATTGATATCAGAAATACATTTTCAGATATCAAAAATGAAAAATTTTACTAGTAGCAATTCAGTTGTTGATATCAAGAATAGACATTTAGACTAGTGATAATTTAATTATTGATATCAGGAATTCGCATTTTTACTAGTAACAATATGGCAAGCCGTTTTAACATTTAATCCTTTTAACCTACTAGTCTCTATTTTCATGCTACTAGTGCTTATTTTTTAGATACTAGTATCTATTCCATTAAGTACTAGTACTTATTCATTAGCTACTAGTGCTTATTATTTAGGTACTAGTGCTTATTCAACAGATACTAGTGCTTATTCTTTAGGTACTAGTACTTATTTATTAGATACTAGTACTTATTCATTAGATACTAGTCCTTATTTATTAGATACTAGTACTTATTCATTAGATACTAGTCCTTATTTATTAGATACTAGTGCTTATCAATTAGCTACTAGTACTTATTCAATAGATACTAGTACTTATTCATTAGTTACTAGTACTTATTCATTAGATACTAGTACTTATTCATTAGATACTAGTACCTATTAAATAGATACTAGTACTTATTCATTAGATACTAGTACTTATTCATTAGATACTAGTACTTATTTCGATAGTCACTAGTAACTATTCTTTTGTTACTAGTAACAAAAATTTTTTTTTGCCATTGACTTCTATGGGGATCTGTCATTTAGATATCAACTATTCAGTTCTGACTAGTATCTATTCCAATTGTGACTAGT